AAACTACTCAAAATTTCTGCTACCGGTTCTCCAGAACTGGTCAGAACCTGCTGAATACCACCTCTGATGTAAATCTGAGCCTCTTTCAAAGTTGCCACCAAAGTATATTTTTAGTAGAATAGAAAAGATCATTAAATGCACATATCAATTGCATTGGATTATATGAATGTGACCTATATTAAATTTAAAATAAATCAAATTTAACTTTTGTGCCTGACTTCACCTACTTTTTTGGCCTAATTCAGGCTCTGCCTACATTTGGTTCATAACACCAGGTACGGTTATTGGTGCAAAATATATTGTACAATTCTGACAAAAACCATGGCCATTGGAATTATTAAAGAAAATTGTTCAGTAGCAGTAACAGTATAAATCCCATGATAAGCCAGAGAACAATAGTTTCCAAAGCACTCTATATAATAACACTCTGATGTTGTTATTCATGTCCCATTTATTTTACAGTATCCTGTGCTTAACATTCTAAACCACTGTGTAATATTTTAAATTTAAATAATGTGCCTAACACTTGCCAGTGGTCTTAGCTGCTGAATACCACCTCTGATATACAGTATATAGGTCTTCCTAGCCTAGCTGCCACCTACTCTTTGAGTTGAGAGTCTAGAAAGACTCTCACATTGCACCTCAAACCCTGGACTAAGGATTGAGATCTCTGAGATTGGGAGGCCAAAACACTTCTGGCCACTAATGTTGTTGGTTGAAGGCTGAGTCTGTTCCTCCCTATCTAGATCTTTAAGCTTCCAAACACTGGGCTTTCATAGCTTCATTGGATTATTCTGGGTCAAGATATGCAATTGAAGATCAATAGTATATCAACAATACCTGAGTTTGAACCAGGGGTGGGCTTCAAAAAATTCAGCAACAGGTTCTCTGCCTAATCGGCCTCCTGCACCATTGGGGGGGAGGCTTTTCATCTTCCCCAGGCTTTAGAGGCTTTCCTCTAGCCTCTGGGAGGGTGAAAACTCCCTCCCCTGGGCTCCGGAGGCCTTCCAGGAGGCCTGTTTTTCCCCCTCCCCGAGCCTGAGCCTCCATGTGGACCCTGCACTTACATCACATCCAAAACAGGCCATGTAGAGACTCTTGGGAGGGGCGGGGTGGGGTGGGAGGAGAGGGATAGGAGGGGTGGGAGGGGCAGGCCAGCCGGACATGAGATTTGGAGGTTCTCTGAACCTGTGATAATGTTAGCTATGGGTTCTCCTGAACACGGGTGAACCCATAGCAGCTCACCCCTAGTTTGAATCCAATCAGTGGTGACTTCATATAGACATTAACAAGGATCAGTGAGACCATCAAGCACTAAGGCCACCTCACCCCCATACTCCAGGACTCAACCTTATACAGTTTCTCCTATTGAAATTTATTTCTTGTTGTTTAGTTTGGTCTTTTTATATTTAATTTTAGTCCCATTTTTCCCCACTGTGCTGCTGGATTTTTATTACTAGAGCTTACAGATATCTGCAATTTCAATCATCAGGATAGAGCCATCCGCATAGAATGGGTTTACTAATGTTTCTTGCTTTCATTTTAAAGGCATGGATGGGAAGATGGGATAATCCGCCGCATTCCAAGAACAGGGGAAGGTGCCTTCTGTGTCCCAGTTGACTTATTGTGTGCTCTCTCTTGGCTAAAGGCAGGCAGCCTTTCTCACCGCTATCTAGAAAGATAGCTAACAATAGTATTCCTAGTGTACGAGTGCCCCGGCTGATGCTTTCTTGGAAACAGAATGCTGCATTAGATGAGTTTAATCCAACAAGAGGTTTGTGGCGCTCTAATGCTCGATAGTAGCCTTTCCCCAGAATTGATCAGGAAAAACTGAAGTAAGAAGTTCTTTGGCAATAGGGCAAATGGCTTGGTGGAGCCCCTTTCTACTATATTATTATAGGCTGTTAGGATGAAAGGAGGTGACTACTTTGAACACATATTTTTGGACCTGTCAAAAGATTAGATTAGGGAGTTATTGAGGTCTTTACTCACTTTCCTTTCGATTTCACTTGATGATTTTAATAGTTTAGCATTTTATTCTGTGAAACTAAAATCCCCCTTTCCCCATCTCTCTAATACATCCTGGGTGGAGACAAATCTCTGACTCTAATTTTTCTTTAAGACACTTTTCTCCTGAATCTAGTTAGTAAAAGGGACGGAGGGGGGGGGGAATCAAGGGAAGGGCGGGAGAGGCTCGCCTGCTTGCCGGCAGCGCCGCGGAGATCCCGGGAGGGAGCGGCTGCCCGAGTCCCTCCTGGCGAGCGCTGCAGCGGGCACCGAGTGAGGGGTGGAGCCGGTCAGATTACACATTAAGGGCTGGCTGGATCCCAGTTCGCCAGGGAGGAGGCGTGGAGTTGGCTTTTCCCCGGCTGCTGGGACCAAGCACCTGGGAGCCCTGGCAGCCGGGCACAAGCGAGCTTTGAGAGGTGGGGCGGGGGGGGGGCGACAGACCAGGGGAGAGATCCGAAGGGCGCCCCAGGCGGGACGGGGAAGGACGGCGTGGGGCCTGACAGCAAATACGGCGGCGAGGAGGAGGAGGCGCCCCGGCAGCGGAGGTGGCCAGACGGGCCTTGCGGGCTGCCTCGTGGGGCAAAAGTAAGCAGGCAGAGACCCGACGGCCATGGAAGGTGGCTGCCACCGCCAGCAGGAGGACGCGGTGGAAGCGTGGCTGGACGACCACGGAGACTTTACCCGCTCTTACTTTGTTCGGAAAGCTACCAGGTGAGCTCCAGAGCGAAAGGCGCGCAACCACCTTCTGGGCGGTGCTGGGGAAGAAGCGGGGACTGGGAGATGGAGGGGGTGGAGAACAATTTATTCTCCCCTCCCCTTACTTGGAAAAGGAGAAGAAGAAGAAGAAGCAGCGAGAATTTTCCACAAAGCTGAAAGCAGCAAACAAACAGGCACTCTGTGTTGAGGCTCGGAGTTCCGCGTGCAAATAGTTCTCGGGGGTTGCGTGTAACCCAAGGCTGGCCGATTGGCACGCTTCTTTTTTTTTTTCTTACTCTGTGCCCGGCTCCCCCCTTCAGCGCTTTGTTAGGGACTGCGCGGCAGCGTTAAAAAAAAGGTGCCGCCTATACCTACGCGCGAAAAATTTATAAGCTCAGCGTTGATGAGCGCCTCAGTATAGCTGGGACTCTCTTCATAGAAAATGCCCGCAGAATCTGAAAAGCTTCCTTTGCCCACGTTGAGACTTTCCAGATGTGTTGGACGGCAGTTGGTACCCAAGGCCTGCTGGCTGGGGATAAGCTCCGAAGATGAGCTGAAAGCCCGTTTCCAAGTCCTCTGTATAACTGTATTTTCTAGAGTCATAAGGCTGACAACCCGAGCAAGCAGGGCGGATTTTATAACTATTCAACGAGTCCAGTTTCCATTTAAGCTCCTAAACCAAAAAGGTATTGTTTCGAACCCTGATTTAATGGGTTGGCTTGTGATCCAATTTATGCTTAGTCACCATCTAGTATAACATTTAAAAAAATCATGCTTTATTTTAGGCTAGCCCTGTTTCATGCAATAGTCGATGCAGGATTATCTTCCTAATGGGTAAGTGGCAAGAAAAATAAGACCCCAAAAGAAAAGGGGAAAAAGAAACAGGAGTTAGAGAAAGAAAGAAAAAACTTTTTTGTTAGTATCGGAAGATTTCTGGTTCGCCACCGGTTCACGAGCATTTGGATGGAGAGAAAGAATAAACGACCTTGAAGGTAACTGTCCTCTCCCTACAGCCAAAGAGAGTGGCTAAAACAGGGGTATCCAAACTTGGGAACTTTAAGATTTGTGGCTGACTGGCTGGCTGGGGAATTCTGGGAGCTGAAGTCCACAAGTCTTAAAGTTCTCAAGTTTGGACACCCCTGGGCTAAAGCTTTTCAGTATCGGTGGCACCTCTCTTGCACAGAAAGAAGGCAAAGCCCCGGAGAGCCAACGCATTAAAGCTATTAGTCACGAACAAGAGCTTCCATGTGCTGAGGCCAAATGCTAGGACCTTTGCCCTTTCTTCGAAAGCATCATAGCAGGCTGGCTCCATGGGAAGCAGATCCACCTATTTTTTTGAAGAAGGACAAAGGGCAGCTGGTAGCAAAACCCGGGAAGGACGTTTATGATCATTTAGGAGCCGGAGCAATAAGATCTGTGGCTGAGAAGCTGCGATGCGGCAGTAGGGCAGGGGGCAGGGCGGGGCAGCGATCTCCGCTTCCTTGGCGTACTTTTGGGACTGAGCTCTGTTGGGGGGGGGGGTGGTTATCCCAAAAGGAGCCGTTTGAGAAAAGAGGCGCTGCCGCCCTCGGCCGCCAGGAGGCAGAGCTGCATCGTAGCGGCTCCCAAGTAGGCCAGGGCAAGAAGTTATCAGGCGAGGGTGGGGTTTGGGGGACTGGGAAAAGGGCTCGCGTAGAGTTTCGTAGAGATCCAAAGCGGAGATCAAAGAAGGATTCCTGGATTCCTTTACCTCTAATATTGGACATGCTGCCTTTTGGAGACAAAACGAGGTACTTTGGCGCTTGAGGATTTGGCCCGCGCGACTTTCGGCTATTTTTGGAGAGGGAGTCAGGTTTCAGTTCGGAATAGTTTTCGTTCGAAAGAAAACGGGTTTAAGGCGGTGCAAAAGAGCAACGCTCCTGGGTGGCTTGGCGGGGAGAAAGTCAGCGCGGCAAACCAAAATAAAGTCTTCCGGCCGTAGGGAAGCCCACCTTCTGATCGCCTCCGGACTGGTCTCTAGGTTCCCCCTCTCCAGCGGCTGCCACCATCTGTTCCACCAGCCCCCTTGGCTTTCCCGACCACTTAATGGAGATGGATGGGGTTTGGATGAGCTTGACGCCAATGTGCCTCTCCATCTGAGATGGTGTGGTAAGACGAGAGGTTCCCATTAATTATTGACTTGCAGGTTGCGCGGGTCACTTGCCTCCCCGAAGCCCATCTGCGGCTAACGAAGTTTTTCTCCTTTTCCCATTCTGTAGTTTGCCTACTCTCCTTCAGAAAGGAAAACAAAATCGAAGCAGGTACGATGCCCTCTTCTCTCTCTAAGAGGGATCTAAAACAAAAACTCAGAATGGAATAAAACCCGCCATAGGTATCACACTTATCCTACAGCACTTTACTCATTTAAGAACCTGCACTCCTGCACAAAATTTGGCGTTTCTCCCAGCCCAGAGCATTTATATATTGAAGACAAATATAACAGATACAGTTACTGTCCCATAGGATTTGGTATTGGAGGGAGGGGTAATTGAATTGAGCAAGAGGAAAAGAATGAAAATTTTTGAAACCAACATTGCAAAATGCTGGTGTTTTAGAGTAAGAATGTCATATATATGCTTTTAAAAATACAAACATTAATCAAAACTGAGTAGCATGCCATCTAAAAATTAATGATTTGGTACAAGCTAGAATGTAGGCATGATTTTTTTGTTACTGCTGCATGTTCTAGAGCCCAGATTTCATGCACAATAGTACATATTATAAATTATAACATTTGCAAGCTATGACCACAAAACATAAATAGGGATGCTCTTTGGTTTGATGTCAGTTAAATATGAAGTGCACCATATTACATTATAAGTATATATCTGGTCTATACATAATGTCCACAGTGTTGCTATATTCCAACGAATATTATGTAGTTTATGTGTCAATGGCTATTATTAATGTGTGCATAATAGCTAGGGTAGCAGATTTTAATTGGTATATTAATTGATGGAATGTTAATGAATGAGAAATATTTTTAATCACTGAATTTTATGGATACACTTGTCACATTTAATTAGACTATTACAGCTGTATGGGATGAATATTAAATACTATAGATATGTTTTCTTCTAAAAATAGGCACATTTTCTTCCAGTTCTTCCAGTATTTGCAATAGTGGCAATAAGGTAATGTAATAAATTCATCTAATTTATGGATTGCCTAAAAGATAATGGTTCATGAATGAAAAATCTTTATTATTAGTTGTAATTATGCCACTTTAGTATACTGCTTATACTGTTATACAACAGAATTTTGTATTTGTGCTAGTATTTTTTAACATGTACAAAGGTATATATAAAGTATATGTCATTCTTTTAAAATTGTATTTATTAGTGACAGAGAAGATCCATTTATACCATTTTGGGATATACCAATGTTTCAAACAACTAACTTCATATATCTGTTATATGCATTGTCCTCTGAATACAAATCCTTTAGTAGCATTTACTGTCATGTAAAAAAAATGTGAGGGACACAATCTTTTGCATGTGATTTTATTGTATTCTATGTTAGTTTGCGGTATAACAATCTAAAAGATTTGTAATAGGGTGGAGGTTATACAAAACACAATACCATATATGTAATAGGCCTCAGAGTTTACTCTCTGGACATTGTACATTCAGCAAAGTTTTGTTTGTTTATTTGTTTTTAAGAGGAGAGTAGCTTTGATAGAAAATAAAATTTCAAATCTCATTTTGCAAATTTATACCTGTTGAAACATGGAAAAAATATCATTGACCTGCCTAAGACTTGCCTAACAAAACTTAGTTTTTATAAAGGGAGAGTTTGGGTTGCGTTGATATCAGAGTTGTACTAAAGTTCAGATTATATCAATACATTGTGTAATGGCACTTCTCAGAGGTACACTTTCAGAAGAGATTGTGTATGTGCAGTACTGTAAGTATAAAATGGTGTGATCAGATGATTATTGGGATTTAGGATCACAAAATAAATTCATGGGTGACAATATTCAGTGTTAATGCTCTTAAAACCTAGAAGGAATTATGCCCCACTTTTCAAGAGTATTTAAGTGTTTTGATAAAAGTTGGTATCCTGACTCTTTAAAGTGAAATATGCCTAAAATAGCACTTTTCTTTTTTAAAACTTTGAAAAAAAATAAGCTGATTCAGAATGAAATCACTTTTTAATAAGAAAGTGCGTAATTCCTTATCTTAGTACTGGACAATTAAAGATTAAGAACATCTTAGTACTGAAGATGTCAATTTAGAAGCTATAGTATTAATAAGTAATTATGCAACATCCTAATTTTATCATTTCCCTAACAATATGTTAATACAAAGATACTTTAAAAGATAGAACAGGTATGCAATATGGTTCAGAATTCTGAGAGTATCAGGTAGTTGGTTAAGAAAACAGTTACCTAGGGGATAGTGATATTATTTTAAAGGGTTTTTTAAAAGTTTAAGTGTTTTATAACTTAAATGTTATAAAATTTTCAAGGGATGAGTTGCAGGGTGTTAATATGAGAAAGACACATTTGCAGTATGAAAGATTACAAGCTATATGTTGTTTTGTGAAGTTGTATGATGTGTGTGTGTATATATATATGTATATATGTATATATGTATGTATGTATATGTATATGTATATGTATGTATGTATATACATACATACATATATAACATACATACATACATGATTTTCCATATTCCAGTGGGAATAGTTTTCATGATGGAAGATGAATTTTCCAGTAGCATCTGTGCAGCTCATTTTTCATGTCTTCAGTTTAGTATGCAAAAGATCTGGTGTGTCTCTATGCAAAAGATCTCTATCAGTTTTATATATATTTGACAGTGGTTTCCATGCTTATATACATTTTTCACATGTGACAGGTGGAAAAATTCATGCAATTTTGTCTGTGGAATTACTTCTGTTTGGGTATTGTGCATGTTTACTTTTTAGTTTGTTTTTAAAACTGTCAGGTTGAGACTGGCGTTTAAATAAATGTGTGAAGTGGATTGGGCTAAAAGAATGCCCAGGGTGCAACTGATAAATATTTGAATCTTATCTTTTGCACTCTATATATAAGTTTGTCCACAGCAGTTTATAAATGAAACAAGAGGCTAAAGATTATTGGATAAAAAGTGACTATTTTTATTTCAGATTTGCAATAAGATTTAATTTTGCTGTATTCTTTCTTCTTCCATCCCCAAAGCTCTAATTAATCTGTCACACGATATCTAGCCAGCAAAAAACCAATAATTACAGCAGAATTGTTCTGTAGTATAATAACTCTTCCTCTTCTGCTATAAATTTGGATTCCAAATAAATCTATATGATAGTATTTGTCTATTTTTTAAAAAAATCATTAGAAGATTTAAAGGTGGGTCTAGATTGGGTAACAACATTTATGCTCAGAGGGTCTATTGGTGATACAAGAGAAGCAAATGTGATCCTGCTAACAAGTTTCACAACAGATTCTTCCTTCTGCTTTGACAGTTGGCCAAATGTTTCATAACTTTTAATAAGCTACACTGAACTGAATTTTTAATTCCAGAAAAATAAGATTGGCCTGCATCTGAAAGCTAGTTTCATAAACGCACATACTTAATGGTTAGCTTGATTCTATTAATGTAGGTCTCTTGAGATTGGCTCATGCTGGCCTAGATCAATCTTTCCCAGCCTTGGAGAGAGGGATCCTGGAAGCCCAATCCTTGTATTCAGCTGTAATGAACAGTGTTGAAACAAGAGAAAGAAATGTTTTCCAGCCTCATGATCGCATCATTCCCTCTCAGAATAATTTCTATTTGGTAACTCTTAAGCTTTGTTTTACTTTTCCTATATTTTGAGCATGGGATCAGAAGGCAATAAAAATAGAAGAGTAAATAAATCTGCTTATTTTGTTTGCAGTCTTGACTTCTCTGTTTCTGTGGTTTTACGTTTGTCTCAATACTTACAATGAAAAATCCTTAATATTGCTAAACTACTAGCCTTATATTATTTATAATTAGAATTTAAGCCATATAAATTAGCTTGCTAGGTGGCCAAGAATAACAATTTAACACAAGGACACATTTTTAGCTCTTGCTTTAAAAAGCAGATCATACTGTTTGCCTGAAGTAAAAATAAAAGCTGGCAAAAAGCAAGAATTGATAATTTTATACAAAAAGAATTTAGTACTGACTGTAATTTGACTCTGGTTAATGTAATGTTCATTGGAGCAACTGTCAATTTTTAATGTTGTCTTAAATTAAAACTTCAGTTGCTTCCTTGTTTGAATGCATATATATATATATATGTATGTATGTGTGCGTGCGTGCGTACGTACGTACGTACATACATACATACATACATACATACATACATACATACATACATACATAC